CTTCACTACGAGGATCGGCTTCACTCGCTCGTCCTCCACACCGCCCCGTGACATGAACGTATAATCCATTGCCACTGTGGGCACAAGGCTCTTGGCCTTCTCTTCCTCGGATCTCGTCCGATGTGGCTGTCCCACAGCCCGTCCAGCAATGCAATGCCGGCACCAACTTCGATACTGCACATGGCCTGTCGCCTCGTGCTCTTCAACCTCAGCCGGAGTTGGGTCCTCCGGTGCTCTTATCTGGATGGGTTTCTCAACCTCATCAACTAATTCCAACTCATCATCCTCTTCTCGCCCCTCTGGACCAGGTCGGCCTGAATCCATAGAGGCATCTCCTCTTTCTCCTGTGGCGTTCAACTCTGCGATGCCACAGCATTCCTTTGTCGGTTTATACCCTGGCTTTCTCAAGTAGAAGTTGTACACTCCCTGCTCCTGATACACAGGGATCCAACTCCGCTGCTCTGCAGCGTTCGCTTTCTCCAGGATCGCCTGGACAGCCTTTCCAACTTTGGACCCTTGCGGAATCAAGTTTCCGCCATTTGCATCAAGAACTGCAATCCTTCCAAAGCCTAAGCACTTGGATGCTGAAATCAATGGCTTGTGAACATCAGCCATTGAACCTTTCACACGGCATTTGTTGCCGCTCTCGTCGAACCCTTCAAAGGTTCCAATGCCCTGACTGGGCACCAACTCTCCTGATGCAGTCTTGAATACAACTCCGTTGCCTTCACTGACAACCACTCGGTCCTCCCAGCCATTCGGGATGGCTGTCTGGGCTGCTCCAGTGTCCAGGTTAAACTTCATCCATTCTTCGGCGGATGAGGTGTCCGCCGTTCCAATTCCACTCAAGTCTGCCATGAGCATTCCGACATCAGCTTCCGGAGCTGGTTCATTGCCGTCATCCGGATCATCCATCTCTTCCATACTTCCTGCGGCTTTGCCTTTGCCGCCTTTCCCACCTTTGCCTTTATTGCCTTTGTCACCTTTACCACTCTTGTCTCCTTTGCCTGAACCTGACCACTTATCGCCTTTTCCATCCGGCCGTTTCTTGCTCCAGCAATCGGCCGCTCGGTGTCCTTTCTTACCGCAATTGTAGCAGGTAATATCTTGAGCCGGGTTTGAGCCTTTACTTGAGCCCCCTTTGCTTGAGCCTTTCTTTCCATCACCTTTGGCCTGTTTACCTTTTCCTTTACCTTTTCCTTTGACCAGGCTTGCGATCCATTGTCCGATCGAATCGACGTCCATGGGTTGAGGTCCTTGATAACTCGAACTTGATGAACCTGGTTTTGGAACAGATGACTTTGATGTGAGGGATGTTTCAATGACAAGTTCAATCTCCTGTTTGATCAACGAGTAGGTTGTCAATCTACTCTTATTCAACAAAAGATGCTCTTCCAAATCTGGGGGTACCAGCATCTCCAATGAAGCGGACTTGATATCGTCCGATAGGGTTTCCCTGATCCCTGCGGCACTCCTCCGAGACTCGTACCGCCTGATGAGCTCTTCGAGCTGTTCGATCGCTGGCCTCACCGCGGCCCATGTCTTGACTCTCTCCGGTTGGAGAATCGCTCGAAGTATATTGCGTTTCCGTCCCGAGGTTCGGGGATCCCAACGGCGGTGAACTCGCCGATATGCTTCAAACCCATTTGAAGCTCCTACCATCAAATCCTCTGTTTCCCCTGAGGTCAGGGTCAGGAGCACGCGATGGATTTGATCAGCTTTATCCTCTAGATCATCTATAGCTGCTATGGTTCCAGTCCCAAACGCGGACTCCATAGCACTCAATTCAATCGCGTCTTCCTGCTCCAAAATATACTCCAGGACTTCAATGAACTCTCTCCCAAAAGTAGTTATGAACAGGTTGTCGATGCTCCTGGCCCATTTTCGGAAATCCCCTTCAACATTTCCAAAACTCTCGGGGCGTCCCAAACCTTTGGTGTCCATAAGGATTTGGGTCTTCCTCCTATCTTCTTTCTTCTCAAGACTCTTAGCCAATTCTCCTACAGCTGAGGCTAGCATTGATACCCCGCCTTGAGACTCCCTCAACACTTGATTCTCTTGCTCCAACCTCGTTTGGTTCTGTTGGAGTTGAAGTACCATTTCACTCAGTTGCATGGTTTCCTACCCTCAACCCCTGCTGCTGCTGCCGCTCGCTCCTTTTCCAGCGGCAGTCGCGGGCGGTTCGCCCGGTCAAGGATCGGAAGGTTTTGGCACTCCACGGACTTCAACAGTAGTCCGTGTGAGTTCCTCCGGGCGACGACCCACAGTTGTGGCCTTCGCTTCATCCGCTACTTTTGGTGCGGCGGATGGTTTGGCCTTTCCTTTTGGTCCGGCCTTTGATTTGGCCTTCACTTTCGGCCCAGGTGTCAGGCTCACTGCTGGCGCCGCTTTGGACTTGGCGCTCGATCCAAGAACGGCAGGTCCCTTAAGTCCTCGCCGTTTGATGTAGTCCTTCACCACCGGCAGCTGTGCCTGCCACCGTTCGTCACAAGAACTGCAGGCCTCGTTGGATCCTCTTTTTCCTTGTTCGTTGGGGGTCTTCCACAATTCGCGAATGGCGGCCAATGCAACGGTGCCCTTGAGATTTCGTTGCTCGCAAAGTTCGTCGGCCGCAAACTTTCGCACTTGGAACGGGCTCTCTAATTTCCAATTTTCTATCGTCAATCGCTGGGCCCGCTCGTTGGCTAGGGCGACGATGCGGAGGTTCAACTCCAGCGCACGCCCCCAGACCGCCCGTCCCCGCTCGGTGTCGCGGGTTTGCGGTCGCTTAGCCGGCGGTGGCCCGTCCGGTGTTCGAGGCTGTCGAACCGGACTTGGATGGCTCACCGACTCTTCTTCTTCGACCTCCTCCTCCTCGGCTGAACCAGCCGCTTCTGAGGTCTTCCTTTTCTTGGTCCGCTTCTCTTGATTGCGGACCTTTTGCTCTTCCCGCTCTTCTTTGATCTCTTGCGGAGTGCGCCCCTTTCCGAACTCTTTGATGCGCCTCCTCAGATCCTCTGTGATGACACCCTTCTTCTTCTGCAGCCTGACCAGGTCCTTGAGCCTCCGGTACTGAAGCGAAGTCTTGCTTCGAAGTCGAAATCCGGATTGTGGCTCTGGATGCTTCTTGACCTGTCCCCAAATGTTCTTCTTCACCCTCCAAGGTGCCTTAGGATCAACTTTGGCTGGGGTATATTTGGCGTGAATGCCACGAACCTCCCAACCTGTTTTGATACCCTCGGGGGATGTGATGAAGTCGGCGATCACTCGGCCAGATGAAGGCTGGGCGGCTGGATCAGCCGCTTCAGCCTCTGGCTCTACTGTGGGGTCTTGTTCAGGATTCTCTTCTTCTCCTCCTTCTGTCTCTTTGGTGGTCTCTTCCTTTGTTTCCGCGGTTCCTTCAACCGCTGGTGTTGTTTCGGCAGTTCCTACAACCGCCGGAGTGGTGTTTGCGGCTGGTTCCGCCGCTGATGTGGCTGGCAAAGGCTCCTCCTCCTTTTCTTCCTTTCCACTCGGGGCGGCCGAAGCGGCCGCTCCCGCGATTTCCTGATCCTCCTCCTCAGAGGTCTCTACCTTACTATGTCTCTCCTCCTTGATGCGCAGCGCTTGGTCCCTTTCGCTTTCACCGGGCTCACGCGCTACCATGAAAACAAAGTTTCGACGTTTCGGAACGCCTTTTCTCCCTTGAGCCAAAACACGTCAAGAGTCACGTGTCTGCAGTACCCTAGCGGAGTATATATGGGCTGTACATACAAACAGTCAACAAGCGCTATATATATATATGTGTCCACAAACAACAATGAAAGTTGTTCAGAATTGATGGAACGACCAAATTGATGGATTGACGCTTGTTGCTTGCTAGTGGGCACTGAGGCTAATCTGGCTAATCTGTGGTGCTTTGGGGCGCGCAGCTTCGAGGGAGGTCGAGATGCCGGTATGTTCTCGGCAGAAACCTTTTGAGCCCTTTGTGACGCATTCTCTGAGCATAGCGTAGGTGAGCATTCTGAAATCGAGAGGCGTAGCAGCAAAACATCGCCGCAATATATCATCTCTGGAGCAGAAAGTAAGTTAAACGGCCACTATGCAAAAAGTAGTTACCTAACAAATAGTTGTTTCTTGCATCGCGAAAAGACCAATTGCGTAGGTGCCGCGAAACAATCCAAGCCCCGCGCAGGCACCCTGCCGCGAAAGCTGTTGGCTCGTGGAAGTTCCCGTGAAGGGTTTCAGTGTACAAGCCCCATTCAGGAACCCAAAATGTTAAGTTTCCAAAACAGGAATCAAATCATTAAGCCTCAGGCTTCTTCAAGGAAGCTGCCCCCAGCCCTAAGGCGGGGGAGCTTCCTTGAAGAAGCATGAGCCCTTCTGCGTTCAGGCGCCTAGGAAGCTTCTTTAGCTTTGTAGCTTATTTAGATAAGCAACAATGCTCATTTCTTGTGATTTCAGGTTCTTCCGTGTCCTCGGCCTGGGTGGTGAGGTCGTGGCAAATACAATGTGTAGTTGAGGTGAAGTGTGAAGTTTTCGGGTGCTTTAGAACTTGCGCTGAGCCAATTGGCAAGTGGTGGTGAACTGAGCCTCATGCTTCTGATGCAGAGGAGCCGTGAAAACAAACGACACCGTGCTCTGCCAGCTACTTCTTACCCATGTAATTGGGCACAAGACAACCCAAGTAGCCACAGGAGACGCTTGTGCACTTTAGTAAAGAACTCCTCAAAACTGACGCCTTGAGGCCTTGAGGAGTAAAAAAAACTCAAGGCCTCATGTATTTGGCGGATTCATTGTAGCCGACGATTGCGCGCCATCCCTTCAAAAATAGATTCGTTAGTGTCCAAGAGTCCTTGATTCATGATGATTTGTGTAGTGAGTGGGGTAGAATAGAGAATTATTTAGTTGTGGTATGTTGTGGTTTGATTTGAGTGAACATCAACCTGTGCAAACAATTCCTCTACATATATAATGATGCACTCAGGCCAACATGCCGTGTTTCGCTCTTGTAAGACTCTTGTAACTCTTGTAGGCTTGCTTCACTCTTGTGCATTTTGACAGTCCCAGCCTCGCAAAGGTGCTTCGAAGAAGTGCAATATCCAAAAGGCTGGGTGCATCCAGTTCCACTTGCGTTGTTTTGAGAGCCATTCGTGGAGCACGTAGTTGCGAAAAAGCTCTGCAAATCCAACATCCTCTAAAAGAGTCCTCGACCATTCAAAGGTAACACCCTGAGGTTCAAAAATTTCATTGACACTCTCAGGGACGTTTTCATAGATCGCCCATTCCAAAACGGACTGTGGAGGGAGCTCATCTGACTGTTCAATTTGCCTGGTGAGCGGCACTACTGGCGCTGCCATCGACTTCCAAGATTCAGCATTGAACTGGTTCAGCCAGCGCGTTAAATTGCTCTTAATTCTTCGGTGAAGCAAGCCCACGCCTGCCAGGCAGCCTGACAAGCAGGCCAATGGTAATAAAGAATGCATACCTGCTGCCACGCAGGAGATCGAGACACACGAAGCACCTGCACAAACGGATGGGACAAGGTTGCAAAGGGTGTGTTTCTCTTCAATGTGCACAGCTGGAATCTGGAAGTTGGAGGGGTTCACAGGCATCTGACCATGTGTTGTTGTAACTCCCGGCAAAGAGTTCTGTACAGCACGGCCCAGGCCAGCACTTGGTGCAGTATCAGGAAGGCTTCTACATACCATTGGAGGGAAGAGAATAGAAAATGTCCTCAGAACACATCTACTTGTGGGGGATGATGCTGTCCAATCATACACAGCCCAGTTTGCAAGCTCCACGAGATAAGCAACCAAGCATGGAGAGCTCAGAAACAAATAGTCCAGCATGCCATGCATCGCTTGGTTCGCCTTCATGATCTTGACATCTTCAAAAGCTCTTCTCAGGCCTCTTCTCTTCTTCCTTGTGCAAGCCGATGGCAGCTCATGCTCCAAGCCTCTTGTCACCCAGCGTTGATTTCCATGCTGGTCAAAGTCCAAAAGGTGAATGAAAACGTCAACCAAACCGCTTGCCAGTGAAGTCGCTCGAGGTTGAACCACCACATCAGAATCCACCGATTGCACCACCCAGTCCTCCACGCATCCAGTGGACAGTGTTAAAGTCGAAGACTTTGCTGTGACGTCCACCCATCGAGTTTTGCAAATGGCTCGAACTGCATGGGCAAAATGGCCGTGATTCACCATGAGACCAAAAGAAATGATATCCACTCCAGGCAACAGCTCGGCCACACGCGCTAGAGCTCCATCTGCGGAGGCCACATCCCGCCAACTCTTCAACAAGTTCATCGCCTTTACAGCCTCTTTCCGATCGCCTTTTGCTTCGGCTAAGAGAGCAGCAATGAGATTTGTTCCAGGCAAAAGCTGTGCCAGCTGTGTGATTGCACCCTGGCGGCCCACCATTCGATGAAGTGAGAAAGCCCGAGCCCGTTCCGCTTCTGCATCCAAGCCTCTAAATTTATGGATGCAACAAATGGTATCCGCTAATCCAGGGATGTGCTCGCCAAACTTTGTGACGTAACCATTCGCCCCCAGAGGGTTTTTCTTTTTCGCTCGTCTCAGCTCTTCACTCTTCCCGCGCACACGATGCAGGCCCTGCATCACATTGTTCAGGAATGGCACATGCTCAGCACCCCGGGCCAAACGCCCAGAGGCCCGGAAGGGGTTCACCTTTCTGGCACGGTGCAGTGACTCCTGTCAACTGGCAGCCGTTTGTGCCGCAGCAAGGGATGGGCCCGATGGGCCTGATGGGCCGTGGCTTAAAGGGAGCCCTAGTAGCTTCTTGTTCCTAGTAGCTACTTGCTCCTAGTAGTACGGCCAGGAGCCCCTAGTAGCGTCCTTGCTCCTAGTAGCGATGCCAGGAGCCCCTAGTAGCTTCTTGTTCCTAGTATGTTTAGGTGAGTACACCGTGAACACCCCATTGACCTTGTGTAGATTGCATCCACCAAAAGTGATCCCCGAACCTATTTAACCTGTCGGAGATGTTGCGGTGATTGAAAAATCGGATTACCGGTTCGGCTTTGCAAACGGGTCTGAGGAAAGCAGGACAGCGACGGACAGCGCTCCTCATCACCAGCTCTGCTGTGCAGCGCTTGCATCACATTGTTCAGGAATGGAAGTCTCTCAGCAACTTGGCAAAGAAGTCCCTGTTCAGAGCCCGATGCAACAAACGAATCCTGCCAAGACAACGCACTCTATGCGCGAGGTGGATCAAACAGGGACAGCATCCCAAAAGAGAACAAGTGATGATGATCAATAGTCACATTTCGCTTCACCCACTTGCCTTCCATTTATATTGCTAGGCAACAATCAAAGTCAAACAAACCAAGTCTGAAGACAAACAGGACTTCAGTATGTGATCGCAGAAACAATCAATCATTGAATCCGTGGCCCAGTTGTCATTGAACTCATCTATTGTTTCAATTTAGTACGGCATCAAATAGTTGTCGGCGAGCCATGCAGTTGGCAATAAACCACAAACCCACACACTCCAAGGCCTTCGTGGACCTCGACCTCCATAGGCCCCAAATATGGACACCAAAGTAGTTGTGTCCTTGCTCCTAGTAGCGATACCCTTTGCTCCTAGTAGCGTCCTTGCTCCTAGTTTCCACATTTTGGATGTTAGACACTTGGGATGATGCCGCATGCTGTTTCTGCATCAACTGGCTCGACCAAGAATATTGGGTTTGATTCGCATAGCGCACAACAGGAGACAATTTAATTTTGACCTAAAAGGTGTTGACTGTTCCAGCGCCTTTCCTAAGACGGTAGACGGTAGTGTCTTCTTTCAAACTCGTGCCACTCATATGGTAACCCCCGGGAACGTAGGTTGGATTCACAGTGTTTCCTATTTTTTGAAGGGATGGATTGTGTATGTTTTCTGTGTATGATACATGCATGTAAATATGTATATATATATAGTTTTTCTGATTCGCACGAAAGAATTGTGAAGACTCCTGGTCCTGAGGTCCTGCTTGTTTCAGGTACATATATATATATATATATACAAGCATTTTTGTTAGGCTAAATGGTCAACAAGCAGTCATACTTTCAGGCATAACAAAAACTCCGCGTACCTAAAATCACAAGCACAATCTCTTGCCGCCTCAAGCGAGATTCAATTTCAAATTCCCTGGGGGGCAAACGATTGCTTGTACACCGCTCCCTCCCGAAGAGTCCACCCTCATTATCCAATTCTTGCACATACATACATACATGCATACATACATACATCCATGCATTGCATTACATTACATCACATTACACTACACTACACTACATTACATTACATTACATGAAATTACGTTACGTTACGTTACATAACATAACATAACATAACAAAACATAACAAAACATAACCATACATACATACATACATACATACATACATACTAACATAACATAACATAACATAACATAACATAACATAACATAACATAACATAACATAACATAACATACATACATACATACTAACATAACATAACATAACATAACATTACATTACATACATACATACATCCATGCATTGCATTACATTACATTACACTACACTGCACTACATTACATTACATGAAATTACGCTACGTTACGTTACATAACATAACAAAACAAAACAAGACATAACCATACATACATACATACATACATAACATACATAACATACATAACATACATACATACATACATACATACATACATACATACATACATACATACATACATACATACATACATAC